TATTTATTCATATATATTTCTGAGTTTTATTGCAGTTACATTGGAAGAAATTAATCTTGGTATTGAATTTGAACAATTTAACTAGCTCACTTTTATTGACATATACCGACTGCCCCCTCCCCAAATTCCCTCCCTCAATTGCCATCAGCAATATGGCATAGTTTTGTTGTATTTAATTTTATAAGAAAAAGTTTCCAAAAACTTAAAAGTAATTCCCATCTATTGGATGTAATTCAAAGTTTCATCTTTTGCTTAAGCTGGCGAATTTAAAAAGCAGTGCATAAAATCAGGAGATGCCGGCTTGGTCTTCGGTTACTGTACATAGTCATACATATTACTGTCTGTACATTTCAGACATGATATGGCGCAAAGTGTGTAAGGAGAAAATGGCCTTGATCTTTAAATATTTAACATGATTGTAATCTTGAGAACTAAATTGACTCTTGGCCAGTGGGTGGCTGACATTGAATACATGAAGAAATTAAATGATTTTATGATTAATAGTAATCTGAAAGCACTAGTTTGAAAATAACGATATAAGATGTTTGAGAGATTTCATACTCCCAGCCTCTATCTGGTTCTATAGTGGGTCAGTTACTGACTGTGTAACTTATAATGGGAGGGGACAAATGTTGTATCATGACTATAATGCATTATGGTGGAGGACAAACACAATGACTAGACAGTGTGTTGTGGTAGGGGACATGTATCATGACTAGACATTGTGTTGTGGTAGGGGACATGTATCATGACTAGACAGAGTGTTGTGGTAGGGGACATGTATCATGGCTAGACAGTGTGTTGTGGTAGGGGACATGTATCATGACTAGACAATGTGTTGTGGTAAGGGACATGTATCATGACTAGACAGAGTGTTGTGGTAAGGGACGTGTATCATGACTAGACAGAGTGTTGTGGTAAGGGACATGTATCATGACTAGACAGAGTGTTGTGGTAAGGGACATGTATCATGACTAGACAGAGTGTTGTGGTAAGGGACATGTATCATGACTAGACAGAGTGTTGTGGTAAGGGACATGTATCATGACTAGACAGAGTGTTGTGGTAAGGGACATGTATCATGACTAGACAGTGTGTTGTGGTAAGGGACATGTATCATGACTAGACAGAGTGTTGTGGTAAGGGACATGTATCATGACTAGACAGTGTGTTGTGGTAAGGGACATGTATCATGACTAGACAGTGTGTTGTGGTAAGGGACATGTATCATGACTAGACAGTGTGTTGTGGTAAGGGACATGTATCATGACTAGACAGTGTTGTGGTAAGGGACATGTATCATGACTAGACAGAGTGTTGTGGTAAGGGACATGTATCATGACTAGACAGAGTGTTGTGGTAAGGGACATGTATCATGACTAGACAGAGTGTTGTGGTAAGGGACATGTATCATGACTAGACAGAGTGTTGTGGTAAGGGACATGTATCATGACTAGACAGTGTTGTGGTAAGGGACATGTATCATGACTAGACAGAGTGTTGTGGTAAGGGACATGTATCATGACTAGACAGAGTGTTGTGGTAAGGGACATGTATCATGACTAGACAGAGTGTTGTGGTAAGGGACATATATTATGAAAAAAATGGCCAAATGTTATTTGTAAATATTCCATGAAAAAAGTATCCAATCAATGTTTCAAAGAGAAATAGTAAAATTCACTTTGTGGTTTTTCCTGATCAATTGATATGTAAATTTGACCTTATTGATTTGACAGCAGAAATACCACTGTGAAAAAAGATGTCCTGCAAGCTATCTATTTGGATAGTGTATTGCCATTTGATACAGAAAAGTTAATTTCATCTGTTGACGCACGAAGCCATATAATTTGTCATTAATGGCGGCCAATGAGGAAATTAAACAAACCTGGTACTAATAAGGGGAGTATAGAGTGAGAGTTAATAACCATAATTGTCTTGGTATACAAAATTTCTGACAGGTTTTTATTCCATCAATATGTTATACTTGAAATCTGAGATGCATTTTAGTCTTGTTTCAAACCTGAGGGAGTATTTGGTTATTTACTCTCTGGGAAATTGTTTTATTTTTTGTGAATATTTCATAATGATATATCTTGTAAAATGAGATTTGTGAAGTGATAACAGTGTTGAGTAACAGACTTGTTGCTGTGCTGTTGGAGGTTAGCATCTGATGTTTATAGCATGATTGATTCAATATAGAATGTTATTTATCCTCTCGAGAGTATTTTTAGGTCATCTGACCTGAAGGGTTAAAATGACATATTGCTATCGTGCATTGTCCACTGTCACCATGCAGCGTGCATTAACTGTCTCTTGTTACAAACCTATTCCTCTTTCATACCTTGGTGGATTTCAACCTAATTTGGTCTGATGCATCATTGGGTGAGAGTATTCATATTTTGATTCGACCACTAGGGGTCAAGGGACAGGGCCCCAAAGGGGAGATGCTGAAATTAGCTTTAAAACCCTACTTCTACTTTTCTGCCTTGGTGGATTTCAACAAGTTCATCAGTTAGGATAGGCAATTATTTCTTAAATTCTGAAATTTTATTTAACCCCAAGGGATTTAGGGGCAGGGCCCTGAAAAGGGAAATTAGACAATATTTTGCTTCAAAGTGCTACTCTTTCTTAATGCTTAAATGGATTCAACCAAATTTGGTCTAGAATATCATTGAGAGTGGAGAAACATTTCTTATATTCAGAAATTTGATTTTGATGCCTAGGGACTTTGGGGTGGGTCCCTAATGGGAAAGTTAATCAATGATTTTGTATCAACACGCTACTCTTCCTTAATGCTTGAATGAATTTAAACCAAATGAAGTCTGAAATATCATTGGAATTCATTAGATTTGTCAGATCACATCTGCAAATTCTGTGGTTTGTTCATCTATTCGTCGATTGTCAAATGACCATTAAGGGTCATGTCTCTCTTGTCCTTAGGTAATCTGGTGTCCTCTCACACCTTTTGGGCATGTAAGCCAACAACAATGATTGATGTAACTTGAAATTATTTGTTTGTCAATCATTGTAGAATAAGTATTGATATACCTCTACACTGTGAATTTTGTCTATAGAGACACTCAGTGGAGCAGAGAAAAGTGGGCTTTATAGAAAGGTGACCTTTAAGACAAGTTTTACTGTATATAATATTTATAAAATCTCTTAACAAGACATGTTTACACTTCTGAAAAGATTTAAGATAAATTGGTTATATGAGATAGAAAAGTATCCAGAACTGACAATGTATTGAAGTTATACTTAATACATGCTTCAATAAATGCAGTCAAACCTGTCTTGTATTGGTTCTGAATGTCATGCAATTGATAGCCGCTAAATAAAGACTTAAATGTAAAACAATTTTCAGTAATTGAACCTCTGTATAAAGAGCACCTATTTAAAAAAAAACTATTTTTGATTCCCTATATGGCTCGTTATCAAACGGCTCTTTAAAAAGCCTATTTTGTGTTCACTTAAGCGGCCAATATAGACAGGTTGTCTAGTGCAAAAATTACAATGAAGGTAGGATTTGTAACAAAATCACTTTCAAGTCCAGATGTCATTACTAGTCTGAGGTAACTGATTTACAGAGGGAAGGAAAGGATGATGATAAGCTTTTCTTATTTGGATGTATTTTGATACAGAACTTGCTTACATTGCTGATCAACAATCAATGGCCAGCAGCTCCAGTTATAGATATCATTAGGAAGGTAGAGCCTGCTGGCAGTGAAGACATTTGGGAGATGGCTAAGAAACATAGAGGATGTGGGGGCGTGGATCTGGTTAAACACGGACTCCTGTCTATCTATCCATCGGCCTCGAGTTCTATTTCTACACACAGCTTATTGATTATTACGGAATGATTGGATACATATTCTCTATTATTAGCCCACTCTGATCATTTACACGCGCTAACAAATTAACTAGACCACAGACCAACACTTCCTGTCCTGTGATGTGTAGGTCTTTGCGGCAGTTATTTTAGATTTAAAACACGACTCAATTACAAGATTTTCCATTGAATAGCGACATAATGCTGTTGAGAGCAGGCTTCTCCATTGATGAAACATTTACGTAACCCAATCAATAGAAGAAGCTGTTGGTCTGGTGTTAACGGAATGATTCCATTGACAAAAAATTTGAGCGAGAGAAACATAGATTTCAAATAACTAGATTCAAGATTTTCATATCTTGCATTGTTCAGTTAACTACTTGTGCACACAGTGAAATACAGCATAATGATTTTTCTAAGGAAAAAATAAAATCCATGCTATTTGCATAAAAATATAATTGAAACCAATTTGAATTCACAGAAGAAGCTGCGTAACTGTTACAAACTTCGTTTAAAAGTATAAAGACAGTTATCCCTGCCGCACCTTCATATAACAGATTCACGTTCTTTAAAGGCCACTTGCCAGTTTATTTCCTAGGACAGATTCTTGTCTATAAAGGTCATCTGTCTATAACATATTCCTGTCTATAAAGGTCATCTGCCTATAACAGATTCCTGTCTATAAAGGTCATCTGCCTATAACACATTCCTGTCTATAAAGGTCATCTGTCTATAACATATTCCTGTATATAACACATTCCTGTCTATAAAGGTCATCTGCCTATAACAGATTCCTGTCTATAAAGGTCATCTGCCTAAAACACATTCCTGTCTATAAAGGTTGCCTGTCTATAACAGGCTCTATAATGCAATTCTTATGTGATTGTCACCTGTCTATGAAGGTCATGGTCCCGAATACTCCTAGTACTTCAGCCTCTGTATAGAGGCCACCTGCCTACTGAGGCTACTTTTCTCTCTTCTGTGGCCTTCGTAGACAGTTTTGACTGCACTTTGAGTAAGTATATAGGATCCTCTGTAGAAAATGGGGAGGTTTCTTCCTAATCTGTGCCTACATTGACTTAGTCGTAATGTTAGAACAGTCCCAACATTATCTGTTTGTTTCCATATATCTGATTGTAATGATTTTTATCAAATTTGTCCTTTCTTTTAGGTCACACCAAAGACAGCTGCTGGTCTAAATCCAAATGCTACAGTCTTCTCACTCAGCAGTAAAACCAGCACATCCAACCCTTTGCCGGACGCATCAGCTTGGGATGGAATCAATGCAAATGATGGTGGGTACAAGAGGAGAGCTGATCATTTATCTCTCGTACAGATTTTAGGAATTATTAATTGCTAATGCTGGCACATAGAACTGTGATTTTATCCACATGTCCTGTCAATATAACTCACAACATGTTGCTTATCTCATTTGTCCAGCATCATGTGTTGTGTGTGGTAAACTTTTAATATTTTCACTCTTCTGGAAAACTCTTTAATTTATTTCAATGAAATTTTACGAAAAACTTTCCATGGCTTTAAAGGTGCACCAAAATTGTAAATTGTATGGTCCCTAACCCCCAGAGACCTGAGGGTCCTGGCCAAAAAGGGTCAAATTGATTAAAATTTCACAGATATTTTACTGTTCTTGGATGGAAGATTTTATATAGGAAAATTCAAATCTTGAGTGTAATTTCATTTAATTCAAACTTGGTAAAAAGCCTTAGCATGGGACAACAGTTAATGTATACACAACTTACATTTGCATTATGTGTACAATATAATTAAGGTTATAATACTTTTTTAACAAAATCATTTCTATGATATGATACAAGAAGCATTGTGATACAGGTGACGGTTAAGGCCCTTGGGGCCTCTTGTTTGGGTACTAATAGATGAAAGATGCATTTTTTTTTTTCTATATCACAACTGAATAAATAATATCTAAAAAGATTTTCAAAATAGTGTTAAAAGAATTTTATATCTTGACAGTGATTTTATTCACCAATCGCAGTTATTGTGTCCTGCCTTACATCAAGTTCAGAATCTGAGTCCATGTTACATTCCAGATATATTTAGAAAAAAAAAGATTTGATACACCTGTCATACACCAGAAAATCTTAGTGTTAAAAGTAATGTCCTGCTAAGTTGCTCTACATTGAGTATTGTCTCTGCATACTTCATCATCAAAGTAGTAAATCTATTGCAGTATGGAAAGACGTAATAAAGAAACTAAATTGTGTCCTGCAGATCCAATAAACAATTATTGATATATGCCACATGCTTCTTATCCACCATTAAATATAAACTTTATTTGTTTTACAACAATTGCGAAACAAGTTATGTCAACTTGTACTAATCACTCTTGTTGGCCCGGATGTAAGCGCATGAGTGGTCTTTTTGTGGGAGGAAACCGGAGTACCCGGGGAAAACCCACCTGGTCGGGCAGGTGACCCCTTACCTTTTCACGTCCGTTCCGGGAATCGAACGCCGGTCGGCTAGGTGAAAGGCGAGTGCGTTAACACTGAGCCACCCACCATACGTTAAGTGTAAAAAGGTCTTTATTATATATTTTGGGTTTCATGTATTCTATGAGGCTAAGAATCAAACATAGGTTATATCTGAGAACAATTCATTAGGAAGTAACAATGGATAATAAAATGCATCAAACAATATTGATGGTCGATCTTCAACTATTATTTTGCGGCAAAGTATATCAAATATTCATTGATATTGTAATATTGGATTTGTTCCCGATAAATAATGTCATTTCATACAACATATTTAATGGTTGGCTTACATATTACTCCATTGTCCTGGATGTAATATTGGACTTGCATCACTGCCACTCCAGTGTATAGGTAATCTTCTGCATTGGTGTAGTGCAGATGCATATTATACAACCAGAAACCAATCTATGATTCGCACCTCTAACAGAATGTTGTAAAACCAGTCTCGTAATAAGAGATAAATTGCTATAGTTTCAGTGTCAGGGACATAACATTATGACACAATTAATACAAATACTAAATGATTAAATTTCTTTAAAACATGTTCAGAGGTTTTACACTGCATTTGCTATTATCAGGACACCAACCACTTCTGTGAGGATATAAACAACCACAAGGCGGAAATGATACACAAATGAACGTCATTCTAAGAATATCTTTGGACGTAATACTTATTACGCAAAATGTTACGTCAAGGTGCTAATGTTTTCAAAATGTTGCAAATGTAAATTAATGTACATTTCTGAAAAGTAAAAACATTTTATCGATCTTTAGAACCTTAATCTATGCCTGTTGTCTCATAACATTGATCAAAACAGATATTTCAACATTTATTTTTGCTAGTGAAAATACGTCACCTTGACAATGGATATCAAAACATGGTGTGGTGTCCATACCAAATGAGACTTAAAATAGAAACTGCGATCAAATATTTCATAATATTACAAGATGTTTGTGGTAGTTATATCCTTGTTTGAGGAACTTTCATCTGATATATTTGAAGTTTAATTCAGCAAGCAAGATTTGGAAATATGTTCAAAAGGAGCATACGTTACAAATTTTTTATGACGCCAAAATAATTGCTGATAAACGGACTTCATTTAATGCAGTCAAAATTTAGCGCATTATCACTTTTTAGCAAATTAGCAAAATCATGAATTTGCACATTGAGAATAATTGCCTTGCTAACAACATACAGAAACTGTGGATAGTGTAATCATATTCAAAAGTAGTAAACAAGTGTTATACTTTCAGCAGTTAAAGCACTAGAAATATAATCCAGCAGTAAAATACCAATAATAGTAGATCATTGCCAACAAACAGCAAATTTATTTGTTTTATTTACGCAATTATTAGAAATAAATGAGAAAGACATTAATTGTCTGAAGTAACATTTATTGTATCCCCTTTCATAAAAATGGCACCAGTAATAATTAAATGTGTGAAATGTTTTTACAGAGTACCAGCATGCCAATGGTGACTTAGGAAAAGGAGAGCTGGGAGGGGCTGATACTCCAGCAGAGTCCCCCCTCTCCAGTGAGGTCTCCTCCGGTTACATTGACAACCAGGTTCCCATCGTCACAGCTTTCTCTACAGAGAACAGCATCACTGGTAAGTGGAGTACCTTGTCCGTAGGGTAAAGGTGAATTCTTGTGAAGGGAATTGTAACAGGTCACATATCAATACTCTTTCAGTAACATAGAAACATTGAAACCAGACAATTTTTGTGAAACAGATAGGATATTCCATCAATATCGTGTTATATGTGGGTAGTTTTGCATTCAAGCATCAGTACTCTCAGACGAAGCAGAAATATTTCAACTTAAAATGTGCATAGATTTTGCAAATAGTCTTAAGTCATTCCTCGCAGAACGTATAGTGGGACATAATGGTAAATTTTATCTTTGATTTTTTGTTTACTTTGAATAGATTATCTTGTTTCTTGATGAACAATTTTCTTGTCAGTTATAGGGATATTACCAAAGTCATGTGCTTAGCAAGACAATTGTAAACTCAATTCTTTAAAAGCGTTCAATTTTTCAAAATAGAAGAAAGGTGTAACAAAGACTCTCCATTCTTAAAATTCTGTTTTGAACGTAGAATGTATATCTCATCAGTTAATAATTGATTTGCTATGTTATAGATGTGGAAGACAACATTGCCAATGCTAGCAATGTGACAGAGGACCAGCTGCGACAGATGCTGAAAGAACAGCTAGAGAACTGTTTCTCTAGGTAAGTCATTCACCACTTGGCAGAAATTTCTGTTGCTCCAAGGGAGCTTATTATAAACAAGTCTGTCACTGACAGGGAGACTACCATAAACAGGTCTGTTACTTTCAGGGTGACTACCATAAACAGGTCTGTCACTGACAGGGAGACTACCATAAACAGGTCTGTCACTGTCAGGAAGACTACCATAAACAGGTCTGTTACTTTCAGGGTGACTACCATAAACAGGTCTGTCACTGACAGGGAGACTACCATAAACAGGTCTGTCACTGTCAGGAAGACTACCATAAACAGGTCTGTTACTTTCAGGGTGACTACCATAAACAGGTCTGTCACTGACAGGGTGACTACCATAAACAGGTCTGTCACTGACAGGAAGACTACCATAAACAGGTCTGTCACTGACAGGGAGACTACCATAAACAGGTCTGTCACTGTCAGGAAGACTACCATAAACAAGTCTGTCACTGTCAGTAAGACTACCATCAACAGGTCTGTCACTGTCAGTGAGACTACCATAAACAGGCCTGTCGCTGTCAGTGAGACTACCATAAACAGGTCTGTCACTGTCAGGAAGACTACCATAAACAGGTCTGTTACTTTCAGGGTGACTACCATAAACAGGTCTGTCACTGACAGGGAGACTACCATAAACAGGTCTGTTACTTTCAGGGTGACTACCATAAACAGGTCTGTCACTGACAGGGAGACTACCATAAACAGGTCTGTCACTGTCAGGAAGACTACCATAAACAAGTCTGTCACTGTCAGTAAGACTACCATCAACAGGTCTGTTACTGTCAGTGAGACTCATAAACAGGGAGACTACCATAAACAGGTCTGTCACTGTCAGGAAGACTACCATAAACAAGTCTGTCACTGTCAGTAAGACTGCCATAAACAAGTCTGTCACTGTCAGTAAGACTACCATCAACAGGTCTGTCACTGTCAGTGAGACTACCATAAACAGGCCTGTCGCTGTCAGTGAGACTACCATAAACAGGTCTGTCACTGTCAAGAAGACTACCATAAACTGGTCTGACACTTTCAGGGAGACTACCATAAACAGGTCTGTCACTGTGAGTGAGACTACCATAAACAGGTCTGTCACTGTCAGTGAGACTACCATAAACAGTTCTGTCACTGTCAGTGAGACTACCATAAACAGGTCTGTCACTGTCAGTGAGACTACCATAAACAGGTCTGTCACTGTCAGTGAGACTACTATAAACAGTTCTGTCACTGTCAGTGAGACTACCATAAACAGGTCTGTCACTGTCAGGAAGACTACCATAAACAGGTCTGTCACTGTCAGTAAGACTACCATAAACAGGTCTGTCACTGTCAGTGAGACTACCATAAACAGGCCTGTCGCTGTCAGTGAGACTACCATAAACAGGTCTGTCACTGTCAGGAAGACTACCATAAACAGGTCTGTCACTTTCAGGGAGACTACCATAAACAGGTCTGTCACTGTCAGTAAGACTACCATAAACAGGTCTGTCACTGTCAGTGAGACTACCATAGACAGTTCTGTCACTGTCAGTGAGACTACCATTAACAGGTCTGTCACTGTCAGACTACCATAAACAGGTCTGTTACTGTCGGGGAGAATACCATAGACAGGTCTGTCACTGTCAGGGAGACTACCATAAACAGGTCTGTCACTGTCAGGGAGACTACCATAAACAGGTCTGTCACTGTCAGTGAGACTCACTGTCAGGGAGAATACCATAGACAGGTCTGTCGCTGTCGGGGAGAATACCATAAGCAGGTCTGTCACTGTCAGACTACCATAAACAGGTCTGTCACTGTCGGTGAGACTACCATAAACAGGTCTGTCACTGTCAGTGAGACTACCATAAACAGGTCTGTCACTGTCAGTGAGACTACCATAAACAGGCCTGTCGCTGTCAGTGAGACTACCATAAACAGGTCTGTCACTGTCAGACTACCAAAGACAGGTCTGTCACTGTCGGGGAGAATACCATAAACAGGTCTGTCACTGTCAGTTACACTACCATAAACAGGTCTGTCACTGTCAGTGAGACTACCATAAACAGGCCTGCCACTGTCAGTGAGACTACCATAAACAGGTCTGTCACTGTCAGGAAGACTACCATAAACTGGCACTTTCAGCTACCATAAACAGGTCTGTCACTGTCAGTGAGACTACCATAAACAGGTCTGTCACTGTCAGTGAGACTACCATAAACAGTTCTGTCACTGTCAGTGAGACTACCATAAACAGGTCTGTCACTGTCAGTGAGACTACCATAAACAGGTCTGTCACTGTCAGTGAGACTACCATAAACAGTTCTGTCACTGTCAGTGAGACTATCATTAACAGGTCTGTCACTGTCAGACTACCATAAACAGGTTTGTCACTGTCGGGGAGAATACCATAGACAGGTCTGTCGCTGTCAGACTACCATAAACAGGTCTGTCACTGTCAGGGAGACTACCATAAACAGGTCTGTCACTGTCAGTGAGACTCGCTGTCGGGGAGAATACCATAGACGGGTCTGTCGCTGTCAGGGAGAATACCATAAGCAGGTCTGTCACTGTCAGACTACCATAAACAGGTCTGTCACTGTCAGGGAGACTACCATAAACAGGTCTGTCACTGTCAGTGAGACTCGCTGTCGGGGAGAATACCATAGACAGGTCTGTCGCTGTCGGGGAGAATACCATAAGCAGGTCTGTCACTGTCAGACTACCATAAACAGGTCTGTCACTGTCAGTGAGACTACCATAAACAGGCCTGTCGCTGTCAGTTAGACTACCATAAACAGTTCTGTCACTGTCAATGAGACTACCATAAACAGGTCTGTCACTGTCAGACTACCATAAACAGGTCTGTCACTGTCGGGGAGAATACCATAGACAGGTCTGTCACTGTCGGGGAGAATACAATAAACAGTTCTGTCACTGTCAGGGAGACTACCATAAACAGGTCTGTCACTGTCAGTGAGACTGTCACTGTCGGGGAGAATACCATAAACAGGTCTGTAACTGTCACACTACCATAAACAGGTCTGTCACTGTCGGGGAGAATACCATAAACAGGTCTGTCACTGTCAGTTAGACTACCATAAACAGGTTTGTCACTGTCATGGGAGACTACCATAAACCAGTCTGTCACTAATAACAATTACATGCAATTAACTGTTGTAAGTGCTTTGTTGCAATTTCAACTGACTTCCATCATTAATTACCCTCCTAAACATGTTATTTGTCTTTGTTGGTTGTTTTGACCTGTAGGCAGAATTACATTTTGTCCAAATACTAAACTGACTGTTTCTTTCAACAGAGAAAGTCTGGCTAGTGACCGTTACCTTCAGTCTCAGATGGACGCTGACCAGTATGTTCCCATAGCAACTGTTGCCAACCTCCAGCAAATTCAGCAGCTCACAAATGACCTTGATCTTATTACAGAATTACTAAAAGGTGAGTATCAAATTAAAGCAGAAGTTGAGGGAATAAGAGAGGCTAAAAATAGAATGGAAATCCCATTGTGTTGATGAATGAATTCATGAGAGAGAATATTAAAGTTAAAAAGGATTAAAAATTCCAATTTTGTGTAATTTATGTGATATCTTGATATAAGTGGTAATTTTTAACTACTTAATAAGCAGTAATATATTTCTGTGTTATCTTACAGAGCTACCAAATGTTCAAGTACTTGAGGTAGATGGAAAGTGTGAAAAGGTTCGTCCGAACCATAATCGCTGTATAGTGATACTCCGTGAGATTCCTGAGTCTACACCTTTAGAGGTAATACAGAGCTCAGCATGTCAAACCTTTAGTGTGTAGGGGAACAAAGATCAGCACTGTACTGCTGAAAGACAGTTAAAAGGAAATGTTTAAATTACAGTATATTCTTTTTGGGGAGATATGTAAAGGATTAATTTTTGTTATAGTTATGAATTGAATGTTTTTGTCTCGGAGATACTTTTACAAATGAGTACTGGGTACTAAAAACCATCTTTAGTTCACTTGGGATTTACTTTCAAAGTCGAAGTGAAATCGCCAATGACCAGATAGAGGAAGGGGATATTCATTAATTGCTGACAATTTTAGTTAAACTCGAAACTCTTTGACCAATGTGCAAAACACATTAATTTTCCGTAAATGTCTTTCTATCTAAGTGTATTGGGAGACACACTTGGGCCTGTTTTGACACCCCTCACATAAAGTTTTGTGTTGACAATGTGTTGAACCAAGCTGCATTAATTCTGGTTTACTTTCGTCAAATTGTAACAGATTTTTCTCTTTCTTTTCCAATTAGTCCATATTTGATGAAAAGGGAAAAAAAATGTTGATAGGTATTTATTCAGAATTTTGGACTGTCACAGGTGGTGAAAACTTTGTTCAACAGGGAAAACTGTCTGGGAAAAATATTGGTAGGATAAATTGTCTCAAACATATTTGAATATTGTACAGGATGTGAAAAACTTGTTCAACGGGGAGAATTGTCCAAGGTTTGTGAGCTGTGAGTTTGCAGCCAATGATAGCTGGTATGTGACGTTTGACTCCGATGCAAGTGCCCAGCAGGCGTACCAGTACCTACGAGAGGAACAGTGCACCTTCCTCAATAAACCTATACTGGTAAGGTGTACATTCCTGACTAGGACTTCAGAATTGCCCAGAATTTATTGATCATCCTAGGATGTTTCTTGATCAAAGTTTAGGTCTATTACTGATGGTCATTGTCTACATCAAAAGTAGCTACATGTACTTTGATAAGAAATTGTATTTTAGGAATGTGTAGTCAAGGGAAGATAATAGTTTAAGTGATTAACACGACCAATGTGCTCTACAAGAAGATTCATTTTTATGCCTACAAAAGAGGAATTATTTAAGTGAAAATTCAGCCAGCCCCTGAAAAAGCAGGATAGCCTTCATTAAGTACAAAAGTGATGGGTTTTTTTTTTAAGTTAAAAAAAAATCCTTGGAAAAGTATTGGAAGATATTTACTTCAGAGATCTCTATAAAGAGTATTTTTTTTACCGAAGCTGTTTTTGTAGATGTCTATAAAGAGTATTTTTTTTACCGAAGCTGTTTTTGTAGATGTCTATAAAGAGTTTTTTTTTACCGAAGCTGTTTTTGTAGATGTCTATAAAGAGTATTTTTTTTACCAAAGCTGTTTTTGTAGATGTCTATAAAGAGTATTTTTTTACCGAAGCTGTTTTTGTAGATGTCTATAAAGAGTTTTTTTTTACCGAAGCTGTTTTTGTAGATGTCTATAAAGAGTATTTTTTTTACCAAAGCTGTTTTTACTCGAAGCATTATTTCCTTTGCTGCAAAAGTTATGTCTTTCTAATATTTAGTGGCTACCATTATATTTTGTTAAGTTTTGTTGATATTTTCACATCAGTATTAACAGTGATAATTATTCTTTCTTTATGACTTTGTTTCCTAAAATTTCTCTATTCTTGACCGTTAAATTGACCGTGTGATGCGATTGTTATTTCAGGCCAGAATCAAAGCTAAGCCACTGATACGGATGACGTATCCACGTAATGGATACAGACCCCAGTATCACCAGCAACAGCAGGCCGTACAACAACAACAGCAACAACAGCAGCAACAAACAGGGGTAGTGACCTCCCCTCCGGCTGTTCCTGTCTCACAGGCAGATCAGGCTGCTCAGCAACAGTCACAACAACAAACACAACAACAGACCCAGTACCAGGTGCAGCAACAGGTGTCCATAATGACACCATACATCAATGGTCAGCAAGTACGTACAGTTGATATTGACAGCCAAAATCTGGTTGTTTCCTTAGCTAATAATTGTAATTTCCTGAGTGAAGAAATGTCAAAAATATTTTCACATTTTTTCACAAAAATTAGAGTTTATCCATTTATGTAGTCGCATAGTGCTCTAATAATGAGGCAGAAATATTAAGTTAAAGTGTTTTGTTGTTGTAATTGATCACTGAAAGTTTTCTAAATGTAAAAATCGCATAGTGCTCTAATAATGAGGCAGAAATATTAAGTTAAAGTGTTTTGTTGTTGTAATTGATCACTGAAAGTTTTCTAAATGTAAAAATCATATAAATATCAGTCTTACTGAAGTGAAAGTATGAAGTGAGATATCTTTATTTATTGAAGACAGACCTCTCTAATCATAAAGATATCACTTTTATTGCAGTGAAGGAATGAAGTGAGATTTTATTTTCTTTTACAAAATGCATAAGCATCCATTTTCATGTTAAATTGTGGCTAACTCTGATTTGTGGATAATACATAGCCAAGTTTGAAAATGAGTTCAGTTAGCTTTGTTGTTGTATATTGTCTATTAGTAAAACTGATCAGTATAGAATGATAAAAATCCAAAGAGAGAGCCAACGCCGGTGGTTTAGGGTTCAGTGATGTTCAGTCATCCACCACTAGGATACCCCAGGGTATTCAGGGGGTTCCACTCGGGGTAATAATAAGTCTAGGAAGTGGTTGGACACAGCAAATTGGAGATAGTAGATTCCATTGAAGCCTTCACAGGTGAACCCTGAGTCAATGGTAAATAAACCTCAAACCTACCATCCCCGACTTGTGTCCCACCACTTCCTAGATTTGATAAAGAATGATGATAAAAACTTTCAGAGCAGCTTTGTTTGGACTGATTATTAAAATTAATCCACATTAATAATAAAAGCTTGATTGTTTTTCAGACTCTTCCATTTTTCCCCAACGCTGCCCTGCTGCCATCATGGCATACAAATGTAACTAGTCCGACTCTACTGGATCCCAGTATGGTAATTACGCCTCCCTCCTCTTCCTCCTCCTCCACCCCAATAGACTTCATGCGACTGATGCAAGCCAAAGCTGTGAAGAGTCCTACTTGGAAACATAGAGATGAAAGGGTTATTGTTACTCCAAAACCACATTGATTTAATCATGGCTGCAGTAGTTGCATATGTTCACTGATGTTACTGTGAATTGAGAATATTACAAATATTTTAATTCCTCTCAAGACGGTCCCCCACCCCTCCATCCCCTCAATCTTTCAATAGTTACTTTGGGAGATAGATTCAGGCCCACTTCACTTAGTTTTATCATTTTGGTTGAAAGATATCAATCACTATGTTTACTGTAAAACATTGTTTGTGACTTGTTATTTTCGCATTTCTATTCCCCTAGACTATTTCACAGTGATATCTTTATGTGAATGGTAGTTTTTTATATTTTGTGAAATAACATGTCCACAATGATTAAATTTCCACTATTCTGATACCCATTCAAATTGCTGGTGAATATTCCTTGATCAGCAGTAGATAGAGGAATCACAATTAGTGTACTAATTCTTGAAAAGGACTTGAAAAAAGCTAGTTTCTGGTTATAGTTTCATCACTTGAAAAATTTAGTAAAAGTTACAAAAATTCCATGGATGACAAAATGTAGATAAATTCCAGTAAAGACAGAAGATTTTGGTATCATAATTTCTGTGAAAACCTATTTGCTGGGATATGTCTCAATTCATAGTACATCTTGTTTGACTTTTACACCATGCTCTTGATAACGATGTCCTGATGTGAATTAAGGCACCTTTGTTTCTACTACTAATGCTGTTTGGAGTTAATAATATCCAGTTTTAAGTGTGTAAAAATGATTTAACAAAAGTTGAGAGGGGCATAAAGTGGCTAATATAAAGCAAACAAAACGCATTGCAGATTTTAGGAAAATATAGCAAATTCAGGAATCCATTTGATAAATTTTAAAATGGGTACCAGCTATTTACATGTTATAATGATGCAGCAAAATTTTTGTTATTTAACTATTTTTAAGAAATTAAATGTAAAATATTTCCAAATTTGCTATATATTATTGGGACATGTTACTTTTATCAGAATGTATGATTATTTTCCCCTTTCATCCCTGTATTATTATATATATATATTCCCATGAAAGGGGTGAAAGGGACATAACTCATGATTTCTGGGTTTTGTTTCATATTTTGAACTGACTGTAGGAACAGGCTCACGTAGTTACCTTGACTGAGATGGGGCAGGTTTTGATGAAAGAGGTTTGTCATTTTAAACTTGAGGTTGAGATTTTGGCTGTACCATTGTATTATTATATATAGTAAATTGAACAGGAGGGCGGGATGCATAGGTGTAACATAGGCTGTCTTTCCTTTCAACCAGGCTGATGAAGCTTTTAATAGGCTATGTTTAACCAAATATCAACTGAAGGTTTTGTTTACAAATCTGGAAGCATTCGTTAAATATTTTATAATGATATATTCAACTACATTTAACACTTTTCAAAATTTCCCAATTGAAAACATTAATATTATTTGTTTAGAAATTGCTTCACTTAATACTGGGGGGTTTATGTATCATTTATTTATGATGTATACTGGTTGCTACTTAAAAAATACAGCGACATGGATAATCTGGTTAAGTATGTGTGTTCTTTGTCCAAAATAAATCTATTTTAAAATCATTGATAATTTTTATCAAACAAAATGTGATGTTTATATAATGCCAAAGATATTTGCTTTCATTATCAGTTTTAAAGAAAGACAAATTTTAAAAAAAGGCAAATTTTAAAAAAGTTCAGTTTATGTGAAGACTTAACTGGTTGAAATGAAAAGAAATCTTGTAGTGTTGTAGATGTGTTTTGTATCATATTCTGTTGTTAAAAAAAAACATGCAGATAAATGTGTCTTGTATGTACCATAAAGTTTCTCTAAAATTTTAGCATTTTATACATAGGTATAGGTCATTTATACATGTAACCCTGTCTAATCATGTTTCATACAATCGTGTCCATGTTGATTCAGTGGTGTTCATGTACATACTGTTGTGTTCATGTACATGCTGTTGTGTTCATGTTGATTCAGTTATGTTCATGTACCTACACTTGTGTCCATGTACATTCAGTTATGTTCATGTACCTACACTTGTGTCCATGTACATACTGTTGTGTTCATGTACATACTGTTGTGTTCATGTACCTACACTTGTGTCCATGTACATACTGTTGTGTTCATGTACATACTGTTGTGTTCATGTACATACTGTTGTGTTCATGTACATACTGTTGTGTTCATGTTCATGTACATACTGTTGTGTTCATGTACATACAGTTGTGTTCATGTACCTACACTTGTGTCCATGTACATACAGTTGTGTTCATGTACCTACACTTGTGTTCATGTCAATTTAGTTGTGTTCATGTACCTACACTTGTGTCCATGTCAATTTAGTTGTGTTCATGTACCTACACTTGTGTTCATGTCAATTTAGTTGTGTTCATGTACCAACACTTGTGTTCATGTTGATTCAGTTGTTCATGTTCATAGACTTGTGTTCATGTCAATTTAGTTGTGTTCATGTATATACCATAACCTTACATTTGTGTGTCATTGAAAGTTTTATGTCAGTCATACAGTTGAATTTTCTTCATAAAATGATGTACATACTTTATGGGTTGGTTAGCGGTAGTCAGTGAACAGGTAGTGTAGGTTATTTGTGTAAGATATAATAAATGTCCATGCGGTAGGACATCAAGGATACTTTCTTCCTAGAGCTCCTAGATCGTGTGTTCTGTATTGTGATATTGTGTGCATAGGCAAATATTGCAGCCTTATTACAAAACCTTGCACATGATGTCCCTGTATCACTGTTGTCTTCCCTGTACTTGTTGTCCACTTTTCTTTAAAGATCCCACCTTCACCATTATTTCCTGCCCATTCCCTTTAACCGCAACTGTGCACTGTTAAATATTGTTGAAGGCATAACTTATCAAATTTATTTTTTTAAAAAGAACTTTCACGAATCACTGAGGGTGTATTTTATGATATTTACAGATCTGGCATCAGAATCACTAAGGGCATATTTTAGGATATTTACAGGTCTGGCATCAGAATAACTGAGGGCATATTTTAGGATATTTACAGGTCTGGCATCGGAATCATTGAGGGCATATTTTAGGATATTTACTGGTCTGGCATCAGAATAACTGAGGGCATATTTTAGGATATTTACAGGTCTGGCATCAGAATAATTGAGGACAAATTTTTGGATATTTACTCATCTTTCAGAAGAAATGCAAAGGATGAAATTGATGCATTTTGGGATATTTAAAGATCACTGGGGATGAATTTTAAGAATATTTATGAATTTTTATAGAGAATGCTCAGGATGAATGTGAATTTAAATTAAAGATAATGTAAAGTATGATGAGGATGCCCTTTATATAGAGATAAGTCTTGGACAGGTGGTGAAAGATTTGGATGAAATAGGTTCTGTACTCTCATTTTGACAATTGTGTGTTAAGGTCCTGAACGACATTAATTTTAGACATGTATATTCCTTATAATTTTGACTTTCACTGATGCAGGGAAAACATTACAAATTGCCATGGATTCTGATGATTTCTGGTATAACCATAATTTATTTAATAAGTGGAATTTTCTGAAGTCAGTTATTTTAAATTGTAGATTTTCTGAGGTAAAATATTTCTGAAGTAGTATTTACTTCAGTCATTAATTTTGAACAGTGAAATTTTCTGTGGTAAAGTATTTTAAAAGGATTTTCTGAAGTCTTTTATTTCAATCAGTGGAATTTTCTGAAGTGTTGATAAGTGGGACACACAAATGAATAGTTGAAAAGACTACAGATAACGTTGATCCAATTGATTTGAAAAGATCATTTGTAATTGATATAAGTATTGTATTTGCAGGAAGGGACTAGTTTAAGCTTGAATGGTCTACTAGAATCATAACACTGAGAAAGTTTTTCTGCTTTTCTTTTTGTTTCCCTCACACTAACAGCAATACTGACACACCAGGACTAATATTTTATGTTACTAATGGTTCTTATCCTGTTGTAGGTGTTGGCTATCAATGGATACCAGGCCACAAGTGTAGCTAAGCTGAACTCAGGGCCGTCACGACACCAGTACAACAATGTCAACAGAAACAGGTAATATAATGTCTCATTTCAGATAATAACCTAAAAAGTCGACTCATGGTAAATGGTTATTTGAAAAAATATAAGAAGAGCTTACTTCGGGGTGCTGACTTTTGAGCAATTTTTGATGTTATCATTGCTATTATTAAAATGTGTCATGGATGTTTTATGTAATTTGCATAATACAAAATGTTCTCAGTGTGGGAATGGTAAGGAAATCAATGTCAGTACTTTTTAGTTGAAACAGGATTCAGAGACTAGTGGAAACCAAAGAATAATTGAGAAGTTTCAAATATAAACAAGCAAAATTGTCTTGTCATTTTTACCCTCCTACCCAAATCATTTTTACTGAGATGTCAAAATGGAAACAGATGATCAAAAAATTAATTCCTGTTAATTCTTGTATCTTTTTACAGTAGAAACCAGCGACCTGTTCGTCTTAACCAAGAGCACCGTATGCATTCAGATAACCGTCCGAATCAGGACCGCCAACAGGGACCTTCAGGAGGATCAATGGATCGCCGTGGTGACAACACAGGAGGCGGGAGTGGTGGTGGTGGTAGTCACCGCACAAGTCCCCGCAATTCTGACAATTCACAGATATCGGGGCATCATTCCCCATTTCAACGTGAAGGGCGTAGGGGAGATAACTCTAATATGAACCACTCTCATATGGTGCATTCAACAGTTCAGCAACAAACACAACAACCTGTTACGGACAATAATTCCAATATCACAGTCAATAGTAGACAATCGGATAATTTATCACAACGGTAAGAATTAACCTTACTTCTGAGACTGGAATCATTAACCAACTGAATAATGTGATCTATTTCTTCATTCTTGCTATCTTGATGTTGATTTTTTCACATTTTAGATTTTAATTGATTTTACAAAAACTTGTTGGGCTTGATGATAACTGGTACGGAGGCCTGCCTCTTGTGTATTTAATGGTCAGGAAATAAGTTTTCATGCGATACCTGTTAATGTTTTGTTATATGCCAGATTAGAGGATCCAATGTGTATAATTCAACACTTCCAATTTGTCCTTTACATAATTGCTCTGAATGGCATGCGACAGGCCTCCTGTATGTTGTTCAGTGAGACAGCTACCAACTATTTCAAGAAGACCTCACCTCAAACTGACCCTGGCTGTTCATGGTCCAATAAGCTCAGTAAACAAGCACATACAGTCCTGGTTTACTGTCACGGTTATTCAAAGCTTTTGGAGTTGGGAGTTTTGTCTAACTTTATCTCAAATGAAGGTTGAAGTGTGTGGTTCCTCACTCCCTTTTGTTTATTCAAGGGTTTGTCTAATCAATTTTGCCTTGGGAAATTGGTAGCATTCTCTAAGTGTTATGTTTTCCCCTCTGAATAGATGTAAATTGTAATGAAAACTTGGGGAAATTTCCCCAAAATAGGAAAGGGGTGAGGATGGTTGGGGGGGGGGGGGATAAGCAAATTTTCTTAACATATTTTCAAATCATGCCATCATGAAAAAGAAATCTCAATCTCACCTCAGCATTATTGTCATATTTTATTTCATTTAATCTTCATGTATGTCATATACTTTTATGCTATTTTGTTTTCAATCTGACCAATAGGACTCTTCAATTTCTCTTTCTCATAGTAGGCCAAAATTTGCCCCCTTTTCAACATTGTGTAGTATTCCCAAATTTTAGGGTCTATGTCAGTTAGATAGCCAACAAATGCTGCAAGGATACCACACCTTAAAATGACCTGGCTATTGGTAGGGTGATGAAACCAGCAAATAAACAGAATATTGATTGGTTTAGCCAGCAAATAAACAGAATACTGATTGGTTTAGCCAGCAAATAAACAGAATATTGACTGCTTTATTCTGAGATTGTAGTTTGAAGAGAAGTTGGACAATTTCTACTGTCCTCAAGGGGGTTGATAAAGTGACTGCCTTTCCATCACAGCCAAATACAACCATTGTGAAGTAGACAAGTGGTATTGAATCTACCACGAGAGGAACTAATAGATTGTGTGGATAAAGTGAACACTAGCATAAGCCAGAGGGACACAAAGTCTTTCTCCTGATTCAAGCGATTTGAACTTTACAAGACAATATTTTATAGGATTTTTTGGTTTAAATGAAGGATTGGAAAGCAAATGCTGGATACTTACATTATTTTGTCTTCCTGATATAGATGATAACATTTGATGGGCGTATTATCAAGTCATGGGGTGAAAGCTATCACACAGTGCACACTATAATGTTAAGGCAGCAACACCTGGAAATGGATCTAATCTGTTTGTATTTTATAGGATGACCCGGAGCTATAGAAGTCGCAGGCGAAGAGATGACGATGGTGCTAGAAGTATGGTAAGTCTACACAAATATTACTGAAGATTAGCTCATTGAGTTTAGGGGTAACATGATATTGGCTGTTGTGAAAGGTTATTTTATGTTTGAATGTGATCAAGAAATATCACTCTTTGGGGAAAGTTGGTACCTGAGCTAAGTGTAATCAGAATTAAAAATTTAATCAATCGATTCTAAATTATTGAACAATTTGGACATGATAAGATTACAGATGGTATTAAATTATTGTCATTTCAGCGACCTGGTTCTTCCCAGGCCATCACCAAAGATAATAAGTTACCTAGTGAACTGCAGTTTGACTTAGAAATCAACTCGTTCCCACCTTTACCAGGACCGGGAGCTTCGGTGAGTTATCGCCTTTGTTATCTGACAATATTGTGAATTGATTGAGAGCAATTGATTCTGACCATGAATAATTAGCACTTAGTCCTTTCATCAGACACTCAAATGCAGTTTTAATGATTTATACCAATATAGATTTTGCATATATAAAGTATTTTTCAACATTATTGATTATGTACATGTAAATTGTATTGTAAATAATATTAAACTGATGATATCTTTGTTTAAACCAATGAGTCAATAGACTCCAGGTTCATAAAGAACTTTAACCTATTTATCACACTACACTTTCTTATGGAGGTCTGTAATGCTACCTGCACAAGTCATTACAGTGTATTTATAGATATTGTATTACCTCATTGATGTTTCTGAATGTTTTCCAATCAATTAGAGCCATCTCTATTTAGTTGTTTCTTGTTGAAATGTTCCATTGTAACTTAATATCTAATCAACACTTATCAGGGGATAGGTTTGTTTATATTAAACATTCTTATCAAATTAACTTTTAGATTGACTAACTTCTTACAAACCTTTAAAAATTTTCATGTTGACATTAAATCTTAAGTGTAATAAACATGTGTGTATAACTTAAAAGTGATAAAATGAAATGTACTGAATTCACTCCTCAGAATTCTTCTGCTGCTGGTGATGTCTTTGAGAGCAAATTGTCCGATGTTGTCAAGGGAACGGCTAAGCCCCAGGTGCGGGAGTCAAAGGCGTCCCCACCCCCTGTACCTCCCCCTCCACCTCCCCCATCAGCCTCCATATCGTCTCCGCCGGTGGCGACGGTGACACCACAGATACCAGTAGCTGTGACAGCGACGACATCAGTGCCTGCCACCACCCGACCCTCAAGTCCGCCAAAGTCCCGGGAGTCTACCACAACGACAACGGTGACGACAAATGGCTCCAGCGGAAACGCATCAACAGTGCCATCTAGTGGTAATGCCAGCTGTACAGCTGTGGCTACCCCAGTGACGCGAGTGCCATCACCACCAGTAATACCACAAAAGTAGGTGGTCATTCTTCGTGGGTCACACATCGTTGATGAAAAGTGCAGGTTTCTGAGTTGATGTTTGCATAGGAAATTTCTATAATGCTACTAAATACAGCTTACACACATAAATTGTATATATATATAAACTTTATTTCACAACAATTGCGAAAACAAGTTTGTGAGAGGTTTTATTGTGGGTAGAAACCATAGTACCTTGGGAAAACCCACGTGGTCGGGCAGGTGACCCCTTAACTTTTTACGTCCTTTTCGGGAATTATATATACACTGCCAGACAAAGGTATTATGTCACTAACACAGTTGTATGTACACAAATTATAGTGGACCTTTGATAATCCAGACCCCTTCGTTTTCAGCAAAATTGTCTGGATTACTTTCTAGTTTTCTGGACTGCCAAGTTTAGTTAACCAGCCAATTTAACCATAGTTAGCTCCCTTGATTATATGACTATAAAGTCAGTATGATGTTGGGTTTAGAATTTCTATATAGTATTTACTGTTAATACAAGTTTATATAAACTCAATGTTTCATTGAATGTCTGCTCAGTATTGACTGCGATAATAACCTATGATTTCTGAATAATATTGTGGCAGGATCTATAATTTTAATATTTGTATTGAATTGTCTCAGTATTGTATTAGTCTTATTTATTAGTTTCGTTTATACTGTATGCGTCTAAGTGTTTAGTCTAGTTTTCGTCTGCTTATATCGTATCGTTTGGTCATTGGTCTTTTTCCATGCTTAAGTCAGGTCTTGTGTCTTATTTTATTGGCTCTTGTCCATTGCTTTTTGTTTGCAGGTCTGTCAAGACAGTGAGGTGACCAGAGAAATTTTAAAGTCGTGCGAGTGAATATCTGCAAACCTCATGTATAACTACCCGCTCACCTGTACGATGCCGGTCATATTTACAAGACAAGATTTCCCCTATAACTCTGTGCCATACACAGAGTTAATCTCTTGTCGCCTGCAATAAAAAACCAGGTTAATGGTAGGACGATGTTGTCAAAGGTGTTGTTGTGGTGTTTTGCATAATGACCCTGTTACAATATATTGTGTTATTTAAGTCCCTTGATGAGTAAGACAATTTGTTGTCATTTGGAACTATTGTATACCTTATCAGAAGATTTCTGATTTTTTTCTTTTTTTTTTGTATTTTTAAAAGAAATAATGAAAAAATGTTTAATTTTTCATGAAAATATCTTAATTTCCATGCTCAAGCAGGTTTGACTATAATTAACATTGCTGTTTGCAGGTCTGTCAAGACAGTGAGCATGCCAGAGAGTCAGCCAAAATCTGCAGAAAGCCATGTGTCTCAGCGAACAGTAAGCAGTGCTCCCAAGACTGTACGTAGTCCAAAACATCTTCAGTATATACTGGTCTAGGTTTTCAAAATTGTCCAAAATATCCCTAGTATATAGGACGATGTTGTCAAACTTGTCTGGCTACAGTGATGACCTGGTCAAATATATTGTGTTATCTCGATACTGAGGAGGTCTGGTCTAAAATATCTGTATTCAGAGCTATGTAGTCCAACATATTTTGATACGGAGGTAATTGTCTGTATAGAGGGCTACATTGTCTATATTAGTAACATAGTATTATAGCATTCCATTGCAATATCTCATTCTTTGTAATGATCAGTAACAATGGAGTCAACTCCACTAACTGTAGTGCTGTATTTTCGGGATTTTAAGTCAGAACTTTTTTTTGGTTGTTGGTCAGATGTGTGGCTTAAATATCGGAACAACTAATATGTGTATATATACATTTTAAAAAATCATATCGAGAATGAAAAAAAAAATTGGTGTATTTTTGCATCATACACTGTGTAAACATGAATTTAAATTACTCTGAGAAATGTTTTGATCAAAGGAAGGAATATTTGCCCTGGGATTTATAGGTCATCGGGTGATAAGTCAATTGCTAGAACGGCCGCCATTATTTATTTATGATTTGAAAGACTTTGATGAAACTTTGAGAAAGAAATATTTAACAGTACAGACAATGACAGATTGTGTAGTAAAACCACAAACTCGGATAAGTCTGTTGTAGAACTACTGTAACGTCATGCCCTTCTGTGTGTAGACAATATTTGATATTTTATTATTTTATATGACCAGAATAATGAAGAAAAAAAATCAATAAAAAATTAATAATTGTGCATGATACATTTGTAAACTTTATTAAATATCTCATTGATAGTCCTGATAAATTCTCTTTTATATCAACAAACTAAGATCAACAAAGTGATTACCAGTCAAAAGAATAGGGTGTGGCTTACATACAGTCAAAGAATAGGGTGTGGCTTACATACAGTCAAAGAATAGGGTGTGGCTTACATACAGTCAAAGAATAGGGTGTGGCTTACATACAGTCAAAGAATAGGGTGTGGCTTACATACTGGTGCATCTATTAGGTGTATCAAATAAAAAAAAAAAAGACTGTCTCTGCAACCTGTATACCAGTGCAACTTATAAACTGGAAAATATGGTAGATGTATTTTCTAGGAACTTCACTTCTGACAGGTATCAGTTTTAATACAAAAGTATCCATTATATTTTTTTTCCGTCTTTGCAGCAGGAAAAGCCAGTTCCAGTTCAGCAACAGGCCCAAGTCAAACTTACATATGCTCAAATGTTGGCGAAAGGCCGAGAAGCAGAAGCTGCTGCCGCTGCTGCTGCAGCTGCAGCTGCCGAGGGCAACAGTAAACAAAGGAGCAGTGATGAGTCAGGAGAAGAGGATTCTAAGTCCGCTACTAGTGTACGTGCCAGTCAAACATTAAAAGAGCAATCTCAGACAATTAAAACGACTACTGCCAATTCTAGACCCCCGGTCAAAGATCAGGGGCGCAGAGACTTTGAACCTAAAGACCAGAGATATGGAGGTGGCCGCCGTGCTAAAGAGAATAGAGAACGTAGGGACAGGAGACGGAGTGAACGAGATGGATCCCGGTCATCAACAAAATAAACAATGTCCCAGAATGCTTCAGGATGATACATCAGCAATACAATATGGACTTGGACAAATTGTTGGAAAAGTTCAAATGATGTATGTTGGAATATTGGCTTGTATGTATAGGACTCTATATCCCTTGCACAAGCTAAGGTGAATTTTTACATCATGGTTATTGGCTGTATGTGGAGGACTTTGTGTCTTTGAGGCATATTTGTTCAACATTGAAAGTTGAATTGTTGACTGAAATTTCTGTTATTGAGAATAACACAACAGGTTGACAATTTAAAATTTCAAAGTGTTGAAGTATGAAGATATGCAAATATAGCAGTTAATGGCAGTACCACAATATTGCTGGTTTTATGGAAAGATACAAGACTTGATACAGAAATTCTATTCAGTAGAAACGTTCTTTACAATGATATGTGCAAGTCAAATTTTGAAAGAAACACAGCCAATTAGAATTGTGATATAGGATGTTACAGATTGCTTGCAGTACTGATGGCACCAGCTCTCTTCTTCCACCTACAGAACATTGAGGAAGCAGGGATCACTAGATATACTTGTCAGAATGATGAGATGTCTCAAGAGTTTGCCTATCTACATTGTTTGTGTAGTTTCCGAAACACACATCCTGCTGTTTGGTCACACTTTATGGTGGGAATGAATGTAGGACACGGTTCAGATGTTTCCATGTATAAGCATTTTGTTATAGAGTTTGTAGTTTGCTCTAATGTGCAATTGGTAGCCAGATAAATGTGTTGATTGGTTGAAAATAGTATTGAAAACATAATTTTTGGGAGATATTACATATTGTTAGAGGTTTGCCCCTGTAACTTAGTTGGACGCTGTTGATCTCTGTGGCGTACACATTTGTTGATTATGGCAAAGATGTTTCTAGTAATGGCTGCCATCAAGTGGCAGGCTTTGATAGTTTATCAGCGATATTAACCAGCACTGTATTGGTGCATGTCAGTCACTTCACTGTTTTTCTACCTCTGTATCTCCCTATTCTGTTCTTTCTATCCATTATCACTGCTGAGCTGCACTTGTGGGACAGTTTGACTAGTTAACACAGAAATACAGTTTGAGCTTGTCAAATTTTTAAAATGTTTTATTTGAATTGTTGATTTCACTATACTGGTTTGGTTTTGATTAAGAATCACCACTTTCAGCCTGTATTTCTGGCCACCTGGTTCAAGAGTGGCTGTGTCTTTAAGACTAATTGAACAGGTTTTGTTGAAACTCTTTGTGATGTGCAAATTTGTCAAAAGCTTAAATGTGGGATTTTCTATTGTAAAATTTCCTGAACATTATACCTCCTCAACATCGCAAGGCTACATAATGTGTGACAGCCCTGTAACAGCTATATAACGATGTATACACAGAGAAACTCTCTAGTTCTAACAATATCAGCCACTGTATCAACTTGTACTTATTTTGAAGTTAATAATGTATTCTTTGTCATTCAATGTCTGGAGATATAGGCTTTTTCATTATACACACGTCGTTCTATATCAAATGTTTAACACGAGTTCGTATCCAATCGTAATTCTTCTTGATTATCTCAAAACAGACCAGATGACGTCATTTTATCTTCTGACCTGCTTTGGGTATTTCCTTTGAGAAGATACATAAGGTGTCCAAGATCTGTAACATTGGCCCAAATAGTTGTCATCAACCACGACAGGTGTGTTACTAGGTGCTGATATTGCAAGAACAAGACTGCTTTTATCTTGAATTGGTGCCTGCCTGCATTTAATTCATTTAGTTAATTATATTTCCTAACCCTTGTTGTGGGTAAACTGTACAGAGCTATGTGGAGGCGAAAACCTCTTTAAACACATATGATAATCAAGTGTCTGTACATATATAGGACGAGTAGAAAATCTAATCAGTATTCAACACTATTTAACTTAGTGCATCCATTTTTAAAAATGTTACTTGTTTTTTTTATGTCTGTTTTGTTATTGGAAGTTGGAATTAAACCAGAAGTGTTATTTTTAGGGGACAGACTTCTGACAGGAAATTGGGGTCTACTTATTTATGAAAGACTCGTAATATACAGGTATAAAATCTAGATTTCTCCTCTCAGGATGTAAGGCTGCATTAAACAACTTTTTCTAGTTATTTTTCATTTTAATGACAATCTTGAAGCTCAAAAATCATTAATTTTTTATTTTGAGTTGATAGACTAACACATTCTTGTTTCCTGTTGCCTAGATGATGTAACCATAAAAAATCAAACTGGAAGTATGTCCATCGAGACACATAGTCAAAAATCAGTTACTCTTTAGAGCAAGGAATCAGATTTTTTTCTCTCTCTGGTAATGACATACTAGGAAGAATATGGGCATTTCAAAAATAGAGATACTTTTAATACAAGTGAACCTTGAGACAAATCTGCTTTTGAGATAAGCATCAGGCAGTGCTATTAAGGATTTCTGTAAACAGCTTCCTCAAGCATAAGAATAAACAACCAGTGATATTAGCACCATACTATGTGACATTTTATAAACATAATTTGATTATAAAGTTAAGATATCAAAATAGTGTATCAACATTTGTTTTAATCCCTTTTGTGGAGTGATAACTAATAATTTGATTGTAGAATGCTGTAATATGAAAGATATGTATTACACAGAATAGGTTTTATATTTTTAATTTGGATTAAACCATTTAAATAATGCCATAACCAATGAAATGTGTTTTTGTGAAGATAATATTTAAGACACCGTTATTGTGTACAGCAGGTTACTTTCCCCCCCACCCCCTCCCCCTTTACCCCCATTTTTCCATATTTGGCAACCAGACAATTGAATTTTCTGATACTATTGGAGTTGTGAAATAACCATTGAGTAGGTAGTGTGTAAGTAAATTTGTTTACTATGATATATATATATGTTTTGCTGCTATGAGTCTGACCTAGTATATGATCCTATATTGTGCTACAGGAATGAAGTATGTATGTATGCTTGTTGCTTTCAGATGTGCTTTTCAAGAGTGGTGAAAGAATTTTTTGCATTTGGAGAAGATATGTAGGTGTTGATGAAATATATGAAGGATGCGAGTCTGAATTCTGACTTATTTTAAATGAGTTATAGAGAAGTTTAAGGTCTACATGTGGTCATGTACATGTTACATTAGGTCAAATCTTCTAGCATACTTTTGAAGTTGTTACAATTATAAAACAAGAAAATGTTTATACATCAACAAGAGATGTGTAGAAAGGTTGAGAATTTACTCCTATAAATAGATTAAGCCATTGAAGTCCGTCTCCACCCCTAAAATAGACAGACAAAACACACCTGTATTGTCATAGGATTTGTAGAGGTAAAATCATTACTCTCTAAAATAAAAAGAATCCAGAGTATGGATAGAGAACATGTAATTGTCTCCAGAAATAGAGTAAAGTTGATACACTCAAAAGTTTAATGGAGAGAGCAATGTATAAAGGGAGATAATTCATGTCAGATTGATATTTCAAGCCAAGGTATTGACATTGTTGTAGATACGGCCAATTTCAAAAGCAGTGGTGCCACTTGCGTTGAAATTGAGAATATTATTCCTAGCTATCTTTGGTCAAAGTGTCGGAGATCTATGTTGCAGTGTTTGTACATGTTGTTTATCTTGATCCTCTTTACAGCTCATAACAGGTTCAGCTTAATGCTTGTATGGTATGGTGATCCCAGTTAACATTGTTGAATGTAGTTTTTTTTTTTTTTTTTTACTTTTTAATACTATATGATAAATTGTGAATTATTATAAATCATTATTATACTTATGATTGTTTTGGTTCATTACTTAGAAAAGTCATTTTGTTTTAGGTTTGGGCTTTTTTAGTGTTTGAATGATTGTATATGTGTGATATATATATTTATATATATTAGGAATGTAACTGTTGAACTTGCAATGCCCTCAAGTTACTGTCACTCAATGACGGGCTAGGTATTGACAAGGATCAACTGCTGCAGTGAATAAGGACCTTTTGCTGGTGTCCTTTCAATACTGCAAGTTTCAATAGAATCTTCGCGGGATTCTTTAAATGTTTTTGCCAAATATTTTGGCTTTTTAAACAAGAGTTTCAACAGTATAATATAAATACATGGGTTAGTTTTCTCTGAACAGTCTCAATCATGATCGCTGTGGATATTTAGAAGAATCGGGTAAAATCAATTTGAAATTGGTTATAAATTAGTCAGGAATTATGTCTTACCTCAGATTCAAGTCCATCATCTGGTAGAGAAGAATAAGTAAGAGAGAAAAAAAGAAATTATGCTGAAACATCACTTCAGTTTTAAAAGTACCTCTGTAAATGAGAAGAAAACTGTATATTGGACTCCATTTTATAAAGTCTGTAACTTCGTATTTGCTAAAGTTTCTCAGATTTTTAGTCACTTAAATTGGATCTGTCGAATCAGAAAATATACGTAGAAAATGATTATTAAAGTGCTTACAAAATTTCTCTTTTGAGTTTTGGTCAGATAAGTGGAGCCTCAGGCCTGTCTAATTGGGTGTCAGCGACTTGAGGGACGGATCAGAATACAGTCCAAGTGTATGTGAAGAAATAGAGAATTATTATGAACTTCATCTTACTAAATGTGGACTAATATCCAGCCAAATCTTGTTTTCAACATTCACATAATAAATCCCTTTTAAGACAATTTTAAAAAAAGATTGTATTTTTGTGAATGTGAAATATAAAAATGTGTTCATTAAAGAAACATGTCACTATATTCTGTCAACATTTATTCTTAAAATGATATTGTTTTGCATCTTAATTTATTGCTCAGAAGAATATAGTGCTATGCTGTTTGAGAGGAGAATGAAATATCTGAATAATAAGAAGAAATTGGTATAATTCCTTGACTTTAATAGCCACTGACATGTCTGCTTTTGTTATTAACAGATTTTCTTCTTCAATGCATCCAATCATCCGCTAACTATATGGATCATATGAGCTTGATTTCTAATAACTTTGTAACCCAATTTTGTGTGTGGATGAATATGAATGTGGAATTGAAGTTTGCTCGTAAAAGAAATTATGACACCTGATTATTAGAACGGATGATGTAAGATTCAATTTTTTAAACAATTTTACCAGTCGCAGTTACTTGTATATGAATATGTACAAGCAATTGCTGATTGTTAAATTGTCCAAAATTTAACTAAATATGTGCTAAGATTAAACTGCTAATTCACTTTCAGATTATTTGTAGGAAATAAAAATCTATGTAAAAATCATCCACAAATATTACCAGGTATTAGCCCCATCGTAATGTTATAAGTCGGAGCATTAGGATCTTTTCAGACATTTAAAAGTCAACCAAAATTTCACAGGAATGTATGTATTGAAGTGAGACTTTTCACATTGTAGTATACATGTTGTGTGTTATAATTGTTGAGTGTGATTCGTACATGTAAAATTTGGATATGTGAAAATCAGCTGTCTCCGGGAGATCAATGAGGATTTTTTTTCTTTTGTCTATTTAATAAATAGCCTACTTGTATATAGATAAGTCAATGAGATGTGTAAAATAAGGAATTGTATCAGATATTTTTGTGAATCACTTAGCTGGGTATAGAAAACTATCTTGTGGTAATGTTATTGAGCTGCAATTTTCATTAATGTCCTTGGTTTGTAAATAATTTTTCCTTTCTTGTTGATATAGTTTGTTAAAATAAGGATATTGTCATGGCGATGATAACATTGTTTTCCCTGGGTGATTCCTTAGCAACATTCTCATGGTCGCTGCCATTTTCTCTTTTTTTAAAAAACAGTCTTTTGTTTTGAAAATTTAGCATTTTTAGCACCAATACTTTCATTCGAAAGATTACACACAGTTCATAGATGATGCTATTTTGGTAAAAAGAAAAAAGAAAGGCTTACAACTGATAGAAAATCAATCTTGCATATAATATACATTCATTTCAAGTTCTGAATGTAAAATTCAAAAATTAAATTTTGTTAAATAATGAAGCTGCTTCAGTGATTTTTTATCAACAATCATATGTCAGTGTTAAATTGAAAATTTGGAATTCCAATGATCTGTTAGATAAAAATAAAATTTTCTGTTTGTTTCAATATTTGTAAATTGAGCAATCTGTATATTTCAAACTTTAATACATTAAGTTATAGTATTAGCCCTAACTACACTTTGCTTCACCACTGTTCTTTGAAGTATTTTCCAGGGTATAGGTGCTTGCTCTGTATGGTAAAAGTGATCAGTTCATTCATAATAAGGCTGTCTGGAATGATGGAAGTGTTATTTTGTTGTTTTGCAAAAAAATGATCAGCATTTGTCATACTTCACTCCTTCATCACAGTAATAAGTAGGGATGCACCTATTATGTAAAGCTTGATGATATTTAGAAACAACTTGAGCTATATATATGCAGTATTTTCAAACGGCTGAAATCAGTTCAGCGCCATGGGGAAGACGGCCCCTATGATTAGCCTAGTCAGTAGCATTTATAGGATGGTGTTGTTTTAAAAGGAACACCCAAACAAATACTACAAAATTGTGTCGGTAAAATCTATCTCTTATGTATTGTAAGTTCTGGTCTTCTTTCCATGACGAGGATAAAGGATGACAACATCTTCCTTTTCATGTGATAGACATTGAATCCCTGCTACTATGAAGTATGCATAATTTTAGGAACTATACAATTATGGTGTTCAAATCTATCAAAAATTACCAGTTTTATTCAATAAATTTATAAATAAATTATGTTCAGAAAATTATTTTATGTATGTGATCATTTAAAACAGTATTCAATTTGATGGTAGTAGGATTTTTTTTTTAAATTTTACATGCAAAAGCAAAACAATTTGTTGGATGTCTGTGCTGATCCTGGTACCAAAATAAAAAATAATGAGTTACTGGTTAATATTTAGAAATGTAATTGTAGATTTTTGTAGAGGCTGTTTTCATTCTCCATATAGATTTGGAGAATTCATCTGTTTGTGTTATACGACTGTGAATTGAAGGCAGAAATATCCCTGATTCATTATAATGAATGTATGTGTGGTTTGTAAGATTATTTATTTGTTAAATCATTAAAATTCTGTGATTGGTTGGCCCATTTTAAACCTCAATGCCTTTGATATGATGAAGATGATTTTCTGCATCATTTACTGAAATATTGGTTTTCAGTTGTTCAACTAATGAAAAGTTTTGTGAAAAAAGGTTCAAAATTTGGAGATAAACATTATCTGTAGTGAGGTGCACAAGTTTGGTTTGCTTATCCAAGCAGTCACGCCTCACATTCTGTAGTTTGCTGTATAATTCATAATGTGCTTCCATTTTTTTTCTTTTCTTTTAAGTTTCACTGTAAACCATTTTCAAGTAAGGTAATGTTCAGAATAAAAATCGTTGATAAGTTGAATAAGAAAGGGGAATATCCCAGTGATTACAAAATTTGATTAAAATGATTGTTTATAAACCATATGCCCATAATTATAGTTTGAGTACATGAGAGTGTACTTGTCACATTTCATCGGGATGGGTTTTTGTCATTCAAGATCTGTAGTTTTGTCCTGCCCAATCGTCTCTTGATAAGTTTGTCACATGACTAGATACATATTTCAGGAAATGTCCCAGCTATCATTTCTTAACAGTGACCTTTTCGTCCAGGTAGTACAGGTATAAAAACAAATTAACCCTATAAATGTTCTTTTTTGTATGTTATTCTTTTTGAGCAAAAGGTTTTAGTATACTTACATGTAAATATATGAATAACTTCAAAGGAAAAATTCTTAAAATGCCTCTCCATTTTTATCCTTATGATTTCTATGAAATAATAGATATTCTTGGAAGTGTTTGAATGTATGAATATAATTCATTGTTAAACAGTTTTTTTTCTGGTATGTGAAATTGTTCTCTCAGTGTTTACTCCCCTCTTTGTCTGTTTTGAATTTTTATGTCGGATACAGCTCAGAATATATGTACATGTATATATTATACATTAAATAATTTTGACATTGGACAAAACCATGCCTGTATAATCATGATAGCCCCGGCTTTTGAGATGATTCAGGGTAAAACTGCATGTCTTCGTTCATGTATTTTTTTATTGGGCATACATGTGATTTGATTAAATTATTGACAATTTTTCGGGGGTTAAAAACAAGGACATCCAATAAAGAACATCCTCATCAGATTTTGTTGGAAGTTTTTTGTTCTACACTTTGACTTATAAACAGCCAAGGCCATTGAAGGTAGTCTACTTGTAGTCCCTGGTGACAAAGTCACAAACTGCCAATGTCATACAAAGCAGTCTACTTCTAGTCTCTGGTGACAAAGTCACTAACAGCCAAGGTCATACAAAGCAGTCTACTTGTAGTCCCTGGTGACAAAGTCACAAACAGCCAAGGTCATACAAAGCAGTCTACTTGTAATCTCTGGTGACAAAGCCACAAACAGCCAAGGTCATACAAAGCAGTCTACTTGTAGTCCCTGGTGACAAAGTCACAAACAGCCAAGGTCATACAAGGCAATCTACTTGTAGTCCCTGGTGACAAAGTCACAAACAGCCAAGGTCATACAAAGCAGTCTACTTGTAGTCCCTGGTGACAAAGTCACGAACAGTCAAGATCATTCAAGGCAGTCTACTTGTAGTTGCTGTTTACGAACTCTCTGAACAACATGCGGGATGGAAATCACAAGCCATCTATTCCAATTGGATAAAGTGTCTTACCCTAGGACAAAACATTGACAGCAGAGACTGGTCTGTTTTTCATCTTCCCGAGAAAGCAGAACAGCTATGGGTAGGTGTATCACCTCACACCATGGAACTTTACATGGGACAATGTAGGTCCATACTATACTAAGCTATAGTCTCCCCTTTGTTAAACAGCATCAAGTGACTTGTCTATGTTGTCTTATTGGAAGAGTGGATTTGAAATGCAATTGAATAAACTGTTTGAAGTGGTAGACTTGCACAACCGAGAAGACACCCATGCAAAAACTTCGCACTCATCATCGTTGAATTCATAACTCAGGCTTGTTGTATTTACAGGTAATGAAACCTTTGGTAGTACAGGATAGAGAAACCCACATGAAATTTCAATCAAAGCAGACTACTTGTACTACTTTCATAAAAATCCATCTGATTCAGCCAGAGAAATGACTTCAATGTTTGAATCTTGCACCAAAATTCCAGAAGACCACCCAATCAGGATTTCTCATTTTAGCTCATCACCATCTATGTCTGTTGTCCAACCATAAACATTTCATGTTATTGCGATTTCTCGAGAATTACTGAATGGCTTGTGCCCTTTTAATGGGGGACTAATTGGACAAAAAAATAGATGGCAGACAGCCATCTTAGATTTTGACAATAAATCTGTAATTGCTTTTTCCTGTGAAATCCTGCCTTAATCTTTCTCAGGTTTTAAATATAGGTTTCCTCTAGTCCCTAGATATGCCCTTTTATTTTGGGACTGATAAGAAAAACAGACTGATAGGCAGTCATTATGGAGTTTGACAGTGAAAGTTTCGTTTTTGCCAGTTCTTGAAGTACAGGATGGATCTTTCTGAAATCTCATGTATATTCTCGATTGAAATTGAGACCGATTAGAAAAACAAAATGGCTGATGGCCGCCATCTTGGATGTTGACAAAGAAAGCTTATTATCACTATCTTGTGAGAAGTGCTAGATAGATCTTTCTCAAACCTAAGAAATGAGAGATCAACTGGTTTTTTTTTTTTTTTTTGAGAAATAGAGATCAAAACCAAAGATGGCAATGTATCAGTCATTTTTTTATTACTGCTCAATCTTTTAATGGTAACAGCATTCTGGACGAAATTGGCCACACAGATCTTGAGATGTTGTGTAGAAACCAATTCTCTATCATACAGAGACCTAGATCTCTAGACCAGTAATCTCACACAAGTACTTTCTTTATCTTTAGGAAGCAATGGATTTAGCCTTAGAGGAATAGGCAATGTAAATTTCTATTCATAGTAACAGTGAACATGACGTCTGAAGATGAAAAGCAGTCTGAAGCCAGCAGTTTCAACAAGAAAACATTGAACAAGTTACGCTATAATTCAACAAATTCTAAAGAAATTGTGCAGAAACCAAATTCCACTAAGTTTAATAATACTGGTTTAAATACATGCCAAGTTATTCTCCAAACGCAAAATTAATTTTTACATGTGACACTCGTGCGGTAATCGAGGGGTTGAAGCCCTTGATTTTAGTATGATAAAGCTAAAGCTTTATTTCTTTTACAACAATTCCGTAGCAAGTTTTTCCAACTTATATTAATCAGTCTTGTTGGCTCGGATGGAAGCGTGCGAGGGGTCTTACTGTGGGAGGAAACCCACATGGTCGGGCAGGTGACCCCATCCTTTTCACATCTATTCTGGGAATTGAACCCTAGATGGCTAGGTGAAAGGCGAGTGCATTACCACTGCACCACCTGACCACCTAATTGACTTTGGTACACTGTACATTGCTTTAGTATGACTTATGGGTACCAGTTTCATGATCCTTGCTTAACTGTGGGCCAAGTTATGGTTCTGACACAAAAGGATGTCTGGAAAATAAAGCAGTGACTATATATACTCCCCTGAAAATTATCGGGGAGCATAAAAACAACAGCAATGAAAAAATATTGTCTGAAACTGTCAAAAAAGAACTAGAGAAAATGTAAGGAATCAATAGTTGGCTTGGGAACAAGGGATATTACATTATGTCATTCTTGTCTCAGGATTAGTATGTATACCCATCATAGGTTCAGAGGATAACGGTAATTGCTGACTAATTTGGTCTTAATCTATTTATTAGTAAAGTTTTCTCAGAGCAGCAATAGTTCCCTAGGTTTTTTGGAAAAAAAGATGATGAGTTAAGAACAAAGTATGTCAATGCAGAAGCGCTACAACCTTTCTGATAGGTGGGCAAAACCAGAAAGCAAACGCTGAATTTATTACAAAAGCTTTCTTTATTTTATGACAAAATGATAATATTAATCAATGCATAATTATGTACAAAATATCTCTGGACTCCTATCACTACAGGTACACTGTGTCATCTTAATTTCAGAAATTCCAATACAACTCATCTCAGATACGAAATCTAAGACGAACTAATGATGCCAAAATGTCAATGTTTTGCTTTAAATAATATTTTTGATGAAAAAAATCTATCAATTTTACCAAATGTAATTTATCAAACACAGTAATTAAATTAATTGTTCACATCTTTTGGCAATTCAGGAATGATTGCGAAATTCCAAGTTTGCCTCAAGAACACTAAATATTTTACACTGTTCTCAATATCTATATTATTCATGCTAGTTTCTCACTCTTGTCCTTTACACTTAAATTATCCACTCTTGTTTCACATCTTAAGGCTCATTTTCCATTGTCCATTTGTTCCTTTTTACTTCACAATCGAATTGACACGTGTAGACTATGAAAGGGAGACAACTGATTGACTTGTGGAGTACCTCTCAGTGTTAATAATGATGACTCAACCAATGAAGATGACTCGGCATCTATGTCCATTATTACATCTTAGAAACCGTGAACCTGAAAACAGAAGAAATGATTCGCGATTATTAATAGAAAACAACTAGAAAAAAAAAAAAATTACAAAAAGCTGTATACTAAGATTAGAACCTATGGAAAAATTAGGAGAAATGTTAAAATACCAGTCACAAAGCAGACTGACCTTAAGCTGATGTTCCTTTGCTAAGCCAATCTTTCTGAGAAAATCTCTAATGTTGTTTCTTTGGTCACCTTGCACTTGTATGACCTCTCCGTACTCAGGATGTTCAACTACTGTCCCATTACAGGCAAACTCCTACAACATAAAGAGTTATACATTTTGTTATTTGTTACAATTTAAAATATGCCATTATGGCTGGTCTGAACAATTGAAGACCTTGTTTATGAACACAAACATACAACTGTAGTCTAATTGATTGAATCTCATCATCTGGCATGTATTTATCATAGCTCTCTGAAAAGGGGTCCACAGTTTACATTTTTCATCCTGGATATTTTTTTTAAAATCAGTTTTACTTTATTTTGATTCTGTTCAGACACATTTGTGAAATTTACATTTCAAAGCTTTGGTATAAATGAACTAAAAAATTTAGGCTGGTTACATTAATGGGTATTTATATCTCTACCAATAAAAATGGGTTGAAGAGGAAAGGATTAATTTTCAAATCTAAGGGGTATTATTCAAATGACAGTGGAAAGCTGTAGAATTACAAAAAAAATAAAAACAACAGGAAATAATTGTCTACAGGACAAGGAAAATTCTCAAAAATTATTACCCAGTAGTATATCTTAACATATTGCAATGTAATGCCATGCTATATTTAGGGCCAATGATTTTCCGTTTCAAATTTGCACCAATTGCGTTACAGATTTTCATGAATTCCATTTTTTACCAGTTTCATGAGATCAAACACAAAAACATAGCAGATAGTCATCAAAAACTTTAATGACTGGATAATTGAAATTTTCCTGACTGAAACAATTGAACTCATGAACTATCTGGGAATATGATATCTCAGTTCGACTAGTTTTCTGACTAGAATACGCAAAATATATTGCAGCAGTAGTATTAAAACAAATATGGACTGAGATCATTAATTCACTAGTGGCAGACTGGCAGTCTGCAGATAATCAAGACATGTAAGTCAAAATGTAAGCAATTTCAAATGACAATGTTTCCTCAAATCTTGGTACAAAGTAGTACCATAACAGAACAAAATCAACACCATGTTTTTCAGCAGTTACTACTAGCTAGGTAGTATTTCTTTACCAGGAAAGGTTTTATTTTGTCAACTTTGTCAACGGGAATATCAGCCAGAGTACACATTTTCAAGAAATCTAAAACAATTTCATCCCTAGATTCTTCAGATTTGACGACAGATGTGACAGGGGTTAAAGTTTTGTTTGACTAGAGATAGCCAACTGTTTTCCTCTCTGCATGTCTCTTGGATTTTATATGATTCTTGACCGTGTCAGCTCAGGTAAAATCAATGCTGTGCTGGCAAAATTTGCACAATAAAACGTCTCTGTCTTCATAGAGGTCGCCTGGGAACTGTGATGCCCTAGATTTCGCATTGACTTTCTTAATATGATCAAGCCTACGTTTTTCCACACCTGAAAAGCTCAGCGTATCGCCACCATCAGCTATGATGTGTACATGCACTAACCATATGACTTTGGTTACCAACATGAACCGGTGCGGGATGTTGTAAATGTTTCTGAAGCACGGTTCAAGCTGTTCAAACAATCTACTTGTTTATGCCATAAATTAATGAAAATGAGCACAGGAATTGGGTTTAGAATGAAAAGCATACATAATTTCAGTCAAATTCAATACAAATATATGGGATTTTTTCTGACTTAGATTCTTGTTTTACAAAAACCAAAATTCCATTTCAGAATGCTGATTCCACCATTCCGCGATCGCGGAAAATCACTGGCCCTACATATTGTTATACAAATGTAATTTTTAACATTTTAAAATCTGAACACTTTACCTTTTTACATGCCTTTACAATTTTCTTCAGGTCGAAGGTGGGACTAATCCCCTGTACTGTGGTCAGGGTTTTTCTACCATTTCTCTGCTGGATTCGGATGTGAATCAAACTCTCTGATGCTCCAGATGCCCCCTCATTTTCATCTCCAATTAAAAAGGGGTCTCCTGGAGCTGCAAAATGATCAGAATACATTATTTATGTAGACTAGTCATATTCTGGACCTGAAATATTATCTGAATGCATATTTATGTTTGAAGTTGTAACCTGGAACAGAAATATTAAGAAAAAGAAAGACTGATATTCATATACATGATGATAACTTTACAAACTTCCTCTAAGCTTGGGATATTCACAGTTTTAAGATAACATACTGTGAAAAGTCTCTCTGAACTAACACACAAAGATGACTTACAACTTTGTTTACATATGCTTGTCATGATCAAGTGAGTCTATTTAAGACTTTCTTTGTAGTCTATTTTGTATTGTTTGTAGAATGCTTGGAACTGTATTGATTTCTTTAAATTAGAACAGAAGAAATAAAACATTAGTATAGTATGTATAGTGATAATGAGCTGTAAGCTATTGTTCTCCTTTAAATAGATGTTCGCCACCAATTGAATATTCGTGAAATGGAGGTGTATACAGTATTTCATAATTTACAGTGATTTTTTTCATTTATTTTCTTGTAAAAACATCTCTACAGGTAATTCTAAATTGGGCTCTTGACAAAATTCATCACTTAAGAACTTTGTACAACTATATATATGTACTGGTGCTTCATTTTGTTCTCTGTTTAATTCTCTGTTACCATGGAAAAAATCATTAGAAATGCAAAATTTACTGTGTGCAAGATTTATAGGACTACACAGTGACAACTATCAAATTGGGGTTTGGCTGATTATCAGTTTTTAATACAATGATTGATTACTTTCTGCCTTGTAGAAGATTATTGATCATGCCTGGTCTGAACAGTCAAAGACTTTGTTTATGAACACTTGAATATACAACTGTAGTCTAATTGATTGAATCTAATCATCTGGCATGTATTGATCATAACTGTCTGAAATGGGTACCACAGTTCACATTATTCAGCTTGGCTATTTTTTTTAATCAGTTTTACTTTTATTTTGATTCTGTTCAGAAACATTTGTGAAATTCATATTTCAAAGCTTTGGCACAAATGAACTAAAAAGGATTCAATATAGTTTTCTCTATCAAATAGGGTTTGGCTGATTATCAGTCTTTAAAACAATGTTTGATTACTTTCTGCCTTGCTGGAGACTATTGATTATGAAAACCAATTACAAGGTAAGCATGTACTCATCATTAATTTGAAGATTTGGATGATATATATATATACAGCAAACAAAATTACATTGGAAAGATGGAAACGAAACTGATCATCTACGTCGAGGAAAGCATTAGTACATGTATGTAACATGGGTCATTATTAATGTTAATGCCTCTGCTAGGATTCAAATCCGAGACCTCCGGTCTACTAGTCCAACACTCAAGCAATCAAACTATAAAAAGAAGTTCTGTCTCTGCAAGCTGTATATTGTGGCTTGTATTTTCCAGGGTTACATACACAAATATAGTCATTTGTTTTCTTGTTTTTAATTCAAGATCAACCGTCGTGTGATTAAAATCACATACAATTTACAATGTGGCTATGCTATAGAACATGACAGCTATTCGCACAAAATGTAAGCAGTTCAACAATAACTTAACAGTTAAGAATTAAAAAAGACACTAACTTGAAAACCTCTTAACCGATTATTACGATTTCCCGACTAATTTTGAAAACTATATTTTCCAAATGATCTAGATCACAAAGCTTCCAGGCTAGTGGCCAAGTCGAACCTTTCCATCTTTGTAACCATGTTTTAGACTTCAAAGTCTTCATGCTCCAGAAAAGCTATTTGTTTCATTTTCACAAATGTCGATATATATCGGGTATCGGTTATCAAAGAGGATCAGAAAATTTATTACATGCGACGGAATGGACATATTTGATTTACTCATTAATACAACAAAGCCGTTATCAACCCAAATGACCAATGTGTTCGCGTTCTTTATTTTTGTAACATCAGTCACAACACCGGTGTTAGTTCACAACTACGTTGTCAGGAAAATTAGGACAGAATTGATGAATGGATGTAGTGATATCGAGAGTTATCCATATCACTGAGATCATCTACGCGCAGAGTATGAGCTCTTATATATAATTTTGAGGAAATGATCGACGTCAAACAGTAAGGATGAAAACATACACAAACTCATTTTTGATGACGCAAAAACTATTTACATGTACTTCCGGTAAAAATTTGGCAAAATAAATCGTATATTACTAACCAAAGTGGCCTGGAAGTTGAGCGTTTACGTTCATATAGTCCTTTTGAAGTGTTCTGCCCAATGAAAGGTACGACAAAAAGTTAGTTTGGTGTTGATGACTCTGGATTCTTGAAAGTGGTTTTCTTGGCGTACGGAATCAATATGGCCTTCGCCGTAAACAAATAAAACTGTTATTTCATTGCGAATGTAACATATTAGAGTTGATTCATAAAAATATTATTTTTTAAAAATATAACTCTTATCTTGCTGTTTAGAGATAAAATAAACGTATTAAAAAAATAACTGAGGAAAATAAGCGTTACCCGGATGTTCCAAAAGGTACCCCAAAAGGGCAATAATATGTATATATTGATGTAAACACTGTGCAATGATTTAAATGGTGTATAATGCATAATTAGATGTAAAATTTGTACTTGCAAAATGTCCTCTTTTCATTGTTTGCTTACACAAACTCTCTTAATTTACTTGATGTAATTATCGTTTGTATACTACGGTCATAATACATGTCCCTGTGGGCGCCCCGAAGGAAACCCCCAATGTGCTTGTTTTATGCTTGTGAGAGCTGGAGAAGAGAACTCGATAAGGATATATACTGCAAGTATAAACAAAAGCCATCGAAATCAACAACTTCTTTTGTGCATTTTATGAATTATATGTATCTATTTATGTTATTTTGATATAAGCAGGTGTCGACAAGGCTAACACGAGTAAGAGAACAAGGAAACATCGAGAGAGAGTTGATGCAAGACGCAATCGAGATTTACACTGAATGGCTGTCCTGACCGAGTGGTTCCAAGCGAGAGCGGCAAGTCTTCGCTGTTAGACAAACTGCACTTGTCACTACCAGATCTCCTATCGACAGAGCACGTTCGCCGTGTAACGGTGACTCGACAATGTCAGAATCAAACGCCTGTGACCCGTGCTTTCCCACCGAGTAAGTATGTTTTAGCCGACATGATATGGTGATTATCATAAAGCTAGAATGTATGTCCTAGCTCTTGACTTCGCTGATCATGAGCGACTTAAGTCTAGAGCAAAGCAGATTCTAGCTTGACTTGCATGCAACCTAGTAGTGACCAAATATAAACACATTTTATATACAGCTATGCTGGCAGAGACAATATCGAAAAACGTTCACACTTGTAGCACTGGCCAATATCAAGGACAGGATCTCAGCTAGAGCTGGATGTTGGGCACTATCAGAATTTGTGTTCTTGGTAATGTAGATATCAATACACGTCTCAGGTCACAGTATGGGTCTGGATGAGGACTGAAATCAAACGGTTTGCACACTGGATTTTGATGTTGATTAATGTTGATTATTGAGGTTTTCCTAGACACAATGGGATAAGTTTGGAAACATGTTATCAGGATTTGTGAACACAGATTTATGTCCAACAAAGTTCAAAGTATTCAGAATTAAATTCACGGAAAGAAAAAGGGCTAAGGCTTTTCATGCAAATATTTTTTACAATACAGCTATATATTTTAACGCAGGAACCTTTTCATTTTGTAAATATGTGTTAAACATTTGTTTTGACACAAATGGTACTTCTGTGAGCATATTTATCAGACACATTGCTACAAATTGATATTTTTGCATCTGTTTCAGTAAGTGTTTTCAGTGTTTTAAGTAAAAACAAAGAGGTCGATTGTTAATTTATCCTAAATGATTAAACATCTTGAGCTATACATTAAAGCTAACTCCATACTTTGGGTTCATGAATAAGTTTTAACAGTTTTAATTGAGATTACACATGTTTTGTCATCAAGGAAAAAGGTTTTTGATATTTTTATACTCTTTCTTTTCAAATACTTTGGTCTATATGGTTTTACTGTTGTTTAAGCTTTTTTTGTTGTCGGGAATAGTTTACTTAATTCAATTTCCTTGTTTATTTCTCCTGGTGTACCTCTAAGTTGCCCAAACCAAGAAAATAATGCATTACTATATATAGCTACATGTCCTTTGGTTTAGTATAGTGTATTTACATTATATAAACCTACCTTCCTACAAATCTGACACAGCTGTCAGTAAAGTTGAATGAGAACAAAATTAATATGTCGTACTTATTTTGTAAAATGGAAGTAGGAAATCAAGCGTGGAAAAATTTGTCAGGGGTTAATGTTGTACGTATTACTTTGATTGCATTACACTATTGGACAAATTTCAAGGCCCCTTTACCATGATATCCATTGAAACTTTATCTTGACTTATGAAAAGTATCGACTTTAATCTGGATTTCAAACTTTCCAAATATGACTGAAATCCATTTTTATATTAATTATATTTATTAGAAATAGGAAATAGTTTAATTTATGGTTAAAAAATCCAAGGGAGGCCACTGTGCACCCAGTCGGAATATGTTTTATAAGTTTTTTTTATTATTTTCATCTGATTTTTATATTTTACAGTAAGCATAATTTTGGGAATCTGATAATATGCTTATATCTAAATTGGGATTAAAAACTTACTAGTTTTCTTTTCAGCTGTAGAACAAATAAACCACCTGTTACCTGGTATTTATAGACAAATTATAGACAGAATCATTTAAAATGGTAAATACATTTTGTATTCAGCAGAAATTGACACAAATATGGATAAATTACACACATTTTGGTTTTTGTTCTAGTAACGTCCCTTTTTAAAGTGTTGTGGTTGGATATGGGTTGATGTAACAGTGGATAATTTAGTTGCCTTTTTAAAGGACAGGGTTTCAATCATTAAATTTTGACTTTTAATAGCTTTTTCTCATTCTGTGTTGATTTAGATACCTTAATCTGGATAATCTAGACAGATTTTGCTACCACAAAATTGTAGTATTACCCAAGTGAATTGTTTTTCCCTTTGAATATAAACCAACTCCCATTCCAGAAAATTTACGAAGAACATCTGGAATTTTCCCCAAAAATAGGGAATTTTCCCACCAAACAGTACTATTTAAATTAAATTAAATTTTTTTTTCATTATGCCATCATGAAAAAGATTGTCTTATTTTATTCAACATTGTCTTATTTTATTCATATAGTTTTTATGTTTGTTTTATATTTTAACCCTATCCCTCTTCAGAATTCTGACAAAAAGGGCTCTCCCAAAATTTCTGTGTATCTCAAAATAAGCCAAAAATTCCTGTTTTTCCAAAATTTGTAGTATTTTCTAAATTCTAGATTAACCCATTTTAATAGTTAAGTATGTTTCAGTAAATAATTTAATTAATTACTGGATTAATATGTCTCATTTGCATAAACTACATAAACACCGAATGTAAAATTTGCATTAGATATTTTATAAATGGGGTCCTTTCATATGAAATGGGTTCATATATATAGTCAAACATCAATGTTTCAAAAGTGCAAAGGACTAAATAAAAACTTTGATACATCTAGACTTTGAATCATACATTGTGGATTATATCCACATATTTATTTCCATAGTTATATGAAGTTAACGACACAATATTTCTACCTGGACAAACACAACAAACACTAAAACGCAAGTATTAATGAAAAGATGCATTGTTATCTTAAAACAAAACATTTTCATTCATGGAAAAAACACAACTTTCAAAAAAACAACGAAAAAAATATATCTGTCAGGTCACAGAGTATATGCATTTTAATGGTCAATTTTAAATGAAACGTGAGCAACATTAAAGTGGTCTCCAAATGTTAGAGTAATTACTTTAATCTGTGTCCATTCATTTACTAGCCTCGTGACACGGAGCTTATGAATGCGGACGATATCGTAATCCCATTGTCAGGTAGCACTCTTCCTTGAGATGTGTGAAATTTTTGGCCGGGGTGAAAATACCTGTACAGTGCAAATAAATGATTGGTTCAAATCATAAGGTGTCAATGACTATGTTATCATAGCTTACGGTCCATAAAACATCATCGAAAAGTGCAATTTATAAAACTTGAATTCATAAGGGGGTAAGTTAGTAGTAATACACAGGAATAAAATTTGGGACCGGGCAAAAACTTTGAATCATCGAAGTTCGATTCATACAAGTTTGATTGTATTTTGAATTGAACATTTCAGAAATTTTTGATTCTTTGAAAGTGAACATTACAGTAATATTCCTTTGTTATTTATATGCTTCGAAATAGCTATGAAGATGGCTTTAGTACAAACTTTATACAAACTCATAACTAAATTTCTTTTATCTTCTATATCCAGTACAAATGAAAAGATAAAAAATAAATAAAAGATAGATGAAAGATAATGAGTATCACAGAGTGCTATTTTTTTCTCTGAAATGTTTTAATTCGACTTAAGGAACTGGTCTACATTAAATGTATTTATTATGTAAAGTCTGTATCAGAATCAGTAATTCTTAAATAATTCATTTCACAATACATTGATTATCCAGCTACAGGATAAATATGTATTTAATCTCATTTCAGTATTAGTCAGTAAATTTTTGCATCTTTACTGCCAAGAAAGGTAAAGTTTGAAATCACGAAATTAATCATTTATCTCAGATGTTTTTCAATCAAGTCCAATATTCAATTTTACAAGATTTTTATGACTCACAGGTACACTACTATGTTTATCTATTTGCATAGAATAAACTCAGTTCTTTCTTCTGATATCGCCTGAGGAATGAACTTCAAGATTGCACTATTAAATATTTTAATATATACTAGCCTGCAGGCAGAGAAATCCAACTGCTTTAAATTACCTTAATTTTCATAGCAGATATTTTTAAAATGTTGCTCACCTCCAAATAAATTCTGGCCCAGTCGTTGGACTAGTGCATTTTTGTACATTGACGTTCAAGTTTTATTCGTTGGTGGAGAAATTTTTTGTTCTAGTGTTTTGTGTACTTCAAGCGAGCCCGGACCACCATTTTCAAATGATGAGCCCCATCAATAACAGTCGGCTCACAAAATTTTTGTGAGACAGACTGGTAGGAAAGCATGTGACCAGCATTGAACTATATCCAAGTCCCAAAAATCACAGAATACTCCATGTTACTATTGTGGTAATTTCTAAACTTAATATTCTTCTATCTTTCACTAATTTCTTTAAAAGTTATTTATATGGCATCTTGATATGAATTTTTTTTTAAATTGGCATACATAGAATGGAACACACTATGCACATACAAAGGAGTATTGATTGTTTGTCTAAGGCCTGCAGTACATGTGTT